AAATAAAGCAGATATTCCCCCCCCCATTGAATTCTGTCACAATGGGGTCAAACCTGTTTCTCAACCTGCTTATTTGTCTCTGAAAGTGTATGTAGAGAGGATAAAGGAGAAATGATAATCAACATGATAATGTCACTGTTCGGCAGGCTGCAATTTACATTTATGGCCTTTTGGCTATGATATTTGGTACCCGTTGTCATTCTGACATCAATGCTTTTTGTAATGGATACCACTGTTAGGATTCTGTTGTAGTCAACAGAGGTTAAATAAGCCAGGAAACCTCAGATCTGTGGTTTGATCACCGTTATCTCAGAACCAGGAGCTTTCACTTTTCTAATTAAACCAGATCAGTAAATCCCACCATAATCCTGCTTCCATCCAGGCTCTCGAGAGATGGGTATTATGTAATGACAGCCCCAGCCCTTGATTCTGATTTTATGGAAGAGCAAAAACTCACAAAGTTTTGAGGACAACAGCGAATAAACTTTGGAGAGATGTTCCTTGGTCGGTTGAGCTACCCCCACTGGTAGAAGTGAGAATGACTGGGCAAAATACACCACGCTTAATAATAATTATGGCTCATCATGAAATGCAAGCAGGCCCAGGGAATTCTTAAGCCTTCCCAGTCTTCACTGTAAGCATGTAAATGCATCTGCGCTCCAATCCTGTAGCTTAACTCGGTGGAAACTTGATCCAAGTACTTTTTGGCCTATTTTACACAACACATGCTAAACTACGCTGCCTCTACATTGCTATTGCCTGGTTTGGCTTAGTATATTTTGTGAACTCAGTGTGATGGAATGCCTAACAGATTGTGGGGGCAGCAAGACAGCTAAGGAGGAAACAGCCATTACCAAAGAGATGCTGAGTCTCAGAGTAACTCCACCTTAATTACACTAGGTACAACTTGTGTGGGAGAATTACTTTGGTAGGCTTTCAAGGCATTTCTCCTTTACTCCACTATCTATAAAGTTATTTTACAGATAGTGGGGTAAATTGCTTTCCAGAGAGGTTGTTGCCAGATTCACAGGGCTAGACACTACAGTTTGTGAACTACAGTGTATAGTTAGCCTTGTTGTATGATACCAGCCACCTATGACCATATCACAACAGAGCATGATGTGCAAGCCATTTCTTAAGTTGGAGCTCTTGATATAAACTATATTTTTGGACACTCTGCTGCAGAGACCCTAATTTGAATGAGGGCTGTGAGAAAGGAGAAAATGATAGTTTAGTCCTCTGGAATTCCTATGAATCATAAAAGAGAAACCTGAAGGTGTATGTGTGCATATCTATCTATCTATCTATCTATCTATCTATCTATCTATCTATCTATCTATCTATCTATCTATCTATCATCTATCTATCTATTTTTACATTTTGTGGCTAAAAGTGCTTTGTGTGTTTTGAGGGAAGCTTTGTCACACAGAGGAATGTTTAATTTCTCATACACCATATCCCTGTTCCAATCACAAAGTCATGTGCTTCCCTTAAAAAGTGAACTATTAAATTCTCAATACATTAGGACTACCAGACATGGGCTACAAAAATCTGAATGGCCAGACTCCACTTATACTTTTTATATATTTAGTAAGATATTATATACACACACACACGCATACACATAATGAATTTGTTGTCACAAAATATGGCTATACAAGTTAAAACAGGCTTAGAATTTATTTTGCAATGTTACTAGGATGAAAAAAAAGGAAGCCATTCTGGAATTTATTTGGCAGTCAAACTTTCTACTTGCAAGACAGCATTACTCCTGATCAGCATGCTCCTTCATTGTTGCAAAATAAAGTGAGTCATTCTCTTAACATGAGTCAGCTTGGAAATGAATAGCTACAGAATACTCCCCCCCCCCCAATTAAAATAGAATTTTGGCTTGTATTCTTACTTGACTTCAAGGGCATTTGGTGATGATCACTGCTGCAAAAAAAAAAAAAAAATCACTTCTTTTTCAATGCTCATTTAGTGTTGCGTCTTCTTTCTAGAGTTACAATATGTGTTGAGGTCCTCCTGATGTCTAGCTCCTTAAAGTTCTCCACCGCCCAGGAACTTTCTGATTGTGGTATGACTTGTTCCCTTCTGGGGAGAACTGCTCAGGACTGGCTGCATCTGGATGGCTTATTTGGGATAGTTGAAGTGACCCATTGGCCACAAAGAGGGAAACTGCTAGGGCAGAACAAAAGGCAGACCAAGCCAAAAGCAATTTTAGCATTGTTATCTATCAGTTAAAATAGGAAAAGGATGAATACCAGGAGGAAAGAAAGAATAAGCTGACCCTGACAATAAGGATTTCCCCCCCCCATATTACTTTATGTATGTATTTTCCTGGAAATAGAAATATGGTTAGAATATTTGAAAGTTCATAATTTGTCACTGGATAAATGCTTATTTAACTATGAGGTCCACTGAGAGAACATTTCACCCCATCCTGAAAACTACTTGGTACTACTCAGTGATGGGATTCAAATAATTTAACAATCGGTTCTGTTAGCCACAACCCCAGCTAATACTTGGTGGCCTTGCCCCTTTCCTGTATGCACCAGTCAGGAAACTAGAGATAAATCATCTATTCCTGAAATTACCTCTGAGAAGCACCACCTAGTTTTTGCCTGAGTGATGTGATCGAAGGAGCCACTTCTCCATTTGGTTTCCGTCGCTCCTTTGTTTGACTTTTGGGGAGAATTCTCCCCCCCCCCCCACCTGAAAGGAAGTTGAACAAAAACCAGAAGTGTTCTGGAAACATCATAACCAGTTTGCTGAACTCAACAAAAAATTAGGTATCGGTTCTGCTGAACTGGTGTGAACTGGCTGAATCCCACGGCTGGTACTACTATAAGAAATTGATATGGGCCTGAAATATTTAAGACACACACATTTGGAGATTGTTTCCTGATACTTACCTTAAAGCAGTGTATCAACAGGAGGAAGTGCAAGGGATCCACATCTCAGTTGGTCAACTACGAATAAGCTAACCTTCAATGGTTTGTACCAATGGAGTCTACAAGACTGGCTGCCTGAACTCTGGAGGTTTACTTTTAAGTCATACACAGATTTCTTGGGATTTTGGTCTGCCGGAACAGGACAATTAGGTGACAGTGTTTAATCCTGAGTTCATACTGTAGGTTTGGAATGCTGTCTGTTCCCTGCCCCGTTTGACCAACCAAATAAATCTCGTCCCTCTTTGCAAACAAAAAGCAGCATGTCAAGGAAAAACCATTATATACAATTTACATTACTGACTGCTAGTTGCAGTCGTGTTTACCCAGGGAAGTGTCCAAAAACATTTGCCCTTCTTCTGGATGACATTTGATCTAGTCTGAAATTGTGCAGTCTATTCATCATCTCTGAACTTGAAGTAGCTAGCTAACTAGCTAACAACAGGAAGCCCAGAAGAGCTTTTGGATGGGGTGGCGATGATGGTGGTGGAATCCAGCAGGAACGTTTGGATGGAAAGAAGCAAGGAGCTTGTCTACAGTGTACTTCACACCATCCTCCCTCCTCTTCCCTTTGGCCCACTGAGTTTCCAAATGCTGTTTCTAGAGTGTATTCTTACTTAGATATAATTAGACCAACGCTTTCAATGGACTTTAGTGGTGGCTACCCTAAAAGAATCCTTGTTCATCTCCAGATGGTCATGAATCAGGGGAGGGTCTCTGGTGGCAAATCAGCCCTTAGCAATCTTGTTTGTCCTTGATTTCTTAATGAAGGGGAGGGACGGAAGGGGAAGAGCCCAAATGCAATTAAAAGTATGCAATCCATCCTAAAGGATTCACTTTTGGAGATTCATTTGTGCTTGGAACCACTCTTTGACTTTCTTCTCCTTAGGTAAGAGTTTCATAATTTTAGTGTGTGTGTGTGTGTGAATATAACAAAATTAACCACTTCATAAATGCTTGCGGTCTTAACTGCACCTTCATATAAAATCCATCTGTTCATGGTTTGAATATTTAATTGCATGCAGTTCCTGTTTGGAAAAGAAAACTTGTGCAACTTTGCTGGAATGACAATCCTTTTCAATCCTGATGTTGATGTTATATCAGCAAGCCTTCCAGCACACTTCCGAGCAAGTGCTGTTGAATAGAGTGAAATTTAATCTTCAGTAAACATACATAATCTTGTGCTGCACAGGCATGATGCAGCTGAAACAAAGACGTTTTGAATTCCAATGTCAGGAACAGTTGGATAGCTGATGAGTTTCTTTTAGGGGAGTGTTAAAGGCACAGAAACAAACAAACAAAAAAAAGCGAGTGTACTAATGGGTTGCAACTAGAACACTTCAAGAACTTGTTTCCCCCCCCCCCTTTTAATTGCGTGTTTATTGCAAATCTCTCCAGCCTCTGCTGTCCAAACACTTCGGACTCTAACGGCTATTATCCTTAAGCAGCTCGACAGGGTGGCTAGCAGTAGTAGAAGTCTATCTTACCAGATGCATCTATCCTGAATTGGCAGGTTTAGACGGGCTACGGAAAGCGGGGGAAAAAAAAGGTTAAATGAGAGTCAAAAGCCAGAATCCAATCAATTCGATTAAAGCTAAAAAAAAAAAATCGGGGGAACCGATTATTATTTTTAATACACCCTGTTAATATTGATCTCAGTCGTGTCAGAAGTAGGAGAAAACTAAAACTTGCCTTGCCAGTTATAAAAAGTGAACGAAACATTTGCCTAGAAGAGTGAAATATTTGGCTGGCAAACTAAACCGAATTTCAGCCGAAATTGATCAAACCCTGAAAGTTTTGTCTCCCGGGGAATAGCAGGATTCTCGCCAAGCCGGATCCGGGCCAAGCGACCGCAAGGAAACCAGCTCCCGCTCCGCATCGCGCTCCGACTCATCTAAGGAAACGAGGAATCCGGAGCCGAGCGAGAGGAAGGAGGCGTTTCCTTGGTTGCTCTCGGTTGTCCATCATCTCTCAAGCACCCGCCCTCCGACCAACAGGAGGCCTGCGCCGCTCTGATTGATGGGCCTGTGCGCGAGTCCCCCCGCAGGGAATGTTTCTCTCCTTAGCACGAGGGGGTTAACCCAAGAGTCCGGCCATAGCAACTCGGTGCGTCTTTCTTGACGCTTGCCCCGGACGGGCTCCGGACCGGAGCGGCTACCGAGCATCCGAGCCTCGGCGTTTCCCTGTCCGGTGCCGCCCCCCTCCCGGAGGCAAAGCAAGGAGGCGGAGGGCGACGCTGCTACGCGTGGAAGCGCCGCGGAAAAAAGTTTGCAGGAAGCAGCTTCCTCCGAGCCCAACTTCTGCCTTGACAGATCTCTGGAGAGGAGGAGGAGGAGGAGGAGGCGAGGGAGCAGCGCGCCCCGATCCTGCGCGAGGGAAGCTGGCCAGGCTTCTCGGAAGGGAATCCCCGTTTCCAAGCGTGCGCGGTAAGGATGCTGGGTTTGCTGGGAGCAGGACTCGCTCCGGGACCGTCCCTTCGCTTCTCTCCTGGCCGCTCGGGAACAGCGCAAGACACGCGTGTTGCCCGACTCGCCACTGCCCACGCGCAGACCCGAATCGGTGCGCGGGCGTGTTGACAAACGCCGAGATTCATAATCCGGGCGAAGGGTTTTTCCCTGGCAGGCTTTGGCCGGCGGAGATGAGAGACACCCGCGGTGCTGGGCAGGGCAGAACAAGGTTCGGGCTGCAGGGCAAGGGGGCGAAGATCCCCTCCCCAGGATGGGAGAATTAGGACGGGGGAAGCAGATCTTGGCCCTTCCACCCCGAAGTTGCTTTGCTCGCAAAGACGGGGCGCTTCGTAACTCAGCAAACAAGCTGAAAGCCTCCCACTCTCCCCCCCCCCGGACTTTTGACAGCTCCCTGGCGTGTCAGAACGCGGCTACGATCGCGTGTTGCGCCCTGCCCTCCGGCGCTTCTTTGGGATCGCTTTCCTGTGTTGTGTGAAAGTAGCCAGTTGGGGTTGTTTAGTAAATCGCTGTTAAATAAACCCTGGCTTAGCGCGACGTGTGAACTCGGCATGTGCTTCGGGCAGTCAGTAGCCTGCCTTGCAGGGTGCCATCAAATCCCGCCATCTGCGCACCTTTTCTGGGAGGGTTTCCCTTCCCCCGAACTGTCAGACTTAATGGATCGGCTCCAAAGTAATTCTGCACATTAAGCTTTACTCCTAAGTAGGGTTGCAGACTTCTGGAGCAGCGCTGAAAAAATGTTGCAGTGCCTGATGCAAGCTAGTTACCCCGGGACTTAGTGCAATCGAGCCAATGCGTAGCTGCTCTCCTGGAATCAAGGTGTTGCATAGTACACGGCAGGCTGCAACTCCTATCTAGGAAGATAATGAGTGTTATAATCCATTTACAGTGTGCCAGATTTTTGGGGACACCTAATCTTCAAAATAAGCATAGGCTCAGTTCAGGTGGCCTGTGGTAATTTACATAAGCTAATTGGTCCTTTATTTTGATTGCATTGCGCCCCTCCTTACAGATTCACACCACTGACTGAAGCAATTGCATTGTGTTAGCATGTTATTTACTATTACACAATTACTAGGCACTTGAGTTCTTGGCTATGATTATAGGCTTGATTTGAAAGCATTTGAACTATGTCACTCTTACTATGTTTAGATTTTGATAAATGCTCTTAAATTTCAGAGACCAACTTCTTACTTAACAGCAATTCTTCACTATTTTTAAACCACGCAGCAAACTACAAAATGCTGCAATTTGGTTCGTATTTTTCGTATTATGCTTTCTGAAAACCCCAGGTTCTGTGTCCAGGAAGGTGCCTGGCTTTTCTGTGTCTCCCTGGGCAATTCTGGTTGTGTGGACCCAATAGATTAAACTAGAACCCTGGGTCCACTTCTTTGGAAATATGTCACAATAAACTTGATTGCATGTACTCCACATAAGCTAAAAGGGAAATGAACAATTAGACGCCCATTTTACAATTGCTAGGTGAAATTATAAGGGAGCGGTTTGTGGGATTGTAAACCCATGTTTTTAAGAAGGCATGATGAAAGTGTGTAGAGCAGTGCTGTGACATCACTACGCCTGAGGTGGTGATAAATACTCCTCTAGAGACAATTACATATACAACCAGCTAAATACTCAAACATCCCACCAGTGTCATCCCAAGACAAAAGGGTTAGTTGAAATTTTTTTGGATGACATTGGCTTTTGCGGTTTGGTGATTCAATGTAAGATGCTTTTTGGATAACAAAAGCTTAATGATGATTTTTAAGTTTTATTCCTGTGGCCATACCTGTTCTTTAATGCTACGCGGTAGTTTTAAACAGCTTTGCGTGCTTTGAACAGGATTTTTTTTATAGGTAGTCCTCGTCTTAACGATCCCAATTGAGTCCAGAATTTCTGTTGCTAAGTGAGACAGTTGTTGAGTGAGATTTGCCCGTTTTACAACCTTACTTGCCACAATTCTTAAGTGAATCACCACAGTTGTTAAGTTAGCAACACGGTTGTTAGGTGAATCTGGCTTCCCCCATTGACTTTGCTTGTCAGAAGGTCGCAAAAGGTGATCAAATGACCCCCCTGCCAGGACACTGCAGCCGTCATAAATATGAGCCACTTGCCAAATGGCTGAATTTTGATCATGTGACCACGAGAAGGCTGCAACAATTGAAAACTGATCATGTCACATTTTTCAGTACTGATGTAACTCAAAACAATTACTAAACAAATGGTTATAAGTTGAGGACTACCTGTGTTCATTTAATTAGATGTTTAGGAGCTGAAGATGTTGTATAATGCTTCCTCCTCCAATTTTTGCTCACAATAACCCTGCGTGGTAGATTGGGCTGAAAGAGAATTCCTGGCTCAAAGTTAGGGTGGAGTAGAGCCTAGATGTGGTTGAGCATGGCTGGCTGAGGAATTCTGGGAGTTGAAGTCCACAAGTCTGAAAGTTGCCCAGTTTGAAGACTCCTGCTTTAAACAGCCTCTCTTCCATTCAGGCCATTGACAGTGACTGACTGTGGATTCCTGCTTTAAGCAAGGCCAAAATGTGAATCCAGACTGTTTTTGTTTGTTTGCTTTTGCTAATCCTTATTAACTAAAACACCGCTTAAAGGGCTATGTGGATGCAGAGGACATATTGGCATTGCAAGCACCAACATCTGGGCTAGATTATGTGGAGTAATTTTAATATAGGAGATGTTAATAGAATTGCTGGGTGGATAAAATTCTAGCATGGCAAGCCTTTTATTTTTTAACCATGAATGCAGATTTTTTATTCTCAGTGGATCAAAATGTATTTGCTCATCTGTCTTTAAACAGAAGGTAATTTTTCCCTTAGTGTTTTACTATTAGCTGGCAGAGTCGAGTAAGTTAATGCTGCTTTAAGGATGAGAAGCTGGAACAGTGTTGATCACATTGCTGGGCAAATGTTTCTGAAGATGTGCTGAATTTTGTCTGTTGCAGCTCTTGTGTCCACCTTTAGCACTGACAGCTGCCTTTTTTATATCATACTTTGCTTTTAGAATTGCCAACTTCTCTTCCTCACCCTGTTCAAAAGCAGGGTGTTTGTGCAACAACTGTAGATATTTTGGAGAGAAAACTTTTTCCAGCCTCTGGAAATATGGTGATGGAAAAGTTTTACCCACAAAACAGCTGCTTGGCACCCAGCAGTAACAAGCTTAGAAGCCCTGCTGGGATAATAGCTTATTAGCTTTTGAAGTATATTTTTTAATTGCATGTATTTCTAAAATACAATCCTTGTGGGAGGCAAGTCCGATTCATCTAAACGAGACTGGACTTTTATATAAAAATGTACAAGTTCAAGATATTTTGATTGGGGAATTGTGATTGGCTTTTTGTTTTTAATGTTGCTTAAATGTACTTAAATGTGCATAGTATATGGTTCTAGGCTAGAAGACCAGAGATTGTGAGTTCCAGTCCTGGCTTAGACCCGAAGCCAGCTGGATGACCTTAGGCTAGTCACTCTCTCTCAGCCCTAGAAAACAGACAATGGCAAATCACTTTTTAAAAATCTTGTCATGAAAAATAGAGTGAACTTGTCCAGGCAGTCACCAGAAGTCAAGAATGACTTGAAGGCGTGGATACGTACTTTGTATGTATCCAGTAGCATACAAAATATATCCTTGGACTCTGCAGGGGTCACAATGAAGAAGTCATTCTAAAAATATAACAATGTACTGGATCACCGGTAGATTACTATAGAATATTTTGCTGGTAATGTCTCGTTTCTGTCTAAGAAGAACTAGTGTAGCGGGAGGGCTGCAGCCGAACTCACATGCTTTATATTATGTGGACTCGGTATCAATCTTGATTAGTCACTGACAAAAGAATTGCAATGGAAAAGAGAACGGAAGCTGCCAATAAGTACAGACATAGTGGCTTGTTCAATAAACACTTAGCCATAGTTTATTTGGCAAACCACATTTAAGCATCTTAGATCATCGCCTGTAAACCACAATAACGAGTTGCTTAGTATAGCTGTGCTGAAATCAAGCAAACCAATTTATGGCTTGATGTGACACGAGAACCAGCTCAATACAGGGGTACATGCAGGAGTGGGATTCAGCCAGCTGGCACCACTTCGGCAGAACTGGTAGCTAATGTTTCGTTGCCCAGGTCCAGAATGGACTTCCAGAAGCGGCATCCACACAGAAAACTGGTTGTTCACATATTTGAATCCCACCTCTGGGTACATGGAAATAAGCCTTACCTGTTATAAAGCAGTCTTGTATATTTCTATGAATAATATGGGCTGTTAAAAGTTGTCATAATTACGTTGGAATGATTGCCCAACTCATTAGTTTGATAGTTATAGTTAAATAATGTATTAGGACAATATTCCAAAGTTGCTGTTCTCAGTTGACAGTCTTTAATTAGCCATAATTCTCTTAAAAATACTGAACATTTCTTTGGTATTATTCATAAAATTAAACAGTAAGCTTATAGCACAAGGTATTTAATATACTGTATAAGAAGATGTACTTCTAAAACTTCACAGTATTTCAATACTTTAAAAAGGCAGGGGCATTAATAGTCCTCTTATTTAAGCTGTAATATCAGTTTTCTTCAGGGGCAAATATTTATAAATTAGCTAATTCCCTACTTCATGTTTTGCAGCCACATAAATAGCTGAGAAATCAGAGCAAGATGCTTACTGGCTTATTGGAAAAGCTTTGCAATAAAGCTTTGAAGAAAATTGCAGCAAAGGATCTTTGAGTTTGGAATTTGTTTTCCCCCAGCAGGTTTCTTGAGCAGAAAGATATTGACCCTGAGGGTGTGGTACAAAGTTTATCTCTTCTCCCAGGCTTCCTCTGAGAAAAAAGGGCTTTCTTTGAATGGGGAGAATCTTTGGGTCAAACAGGACATGACAATAGCAGATCTGTGCACTTAAATCCAGCATTGCTGCAGATCACCGATCAACTGTAGGGTGGAGGGACTATTTTAAC